TGGGCAAATTTAGAAAACATACCTAAACATTAGTTAGAGGCAAGGAAACAAATTTGGACATTATTTCTAGAGTGATTGAAAGTATATTGCAGTGTCCCTAAAATTTCATTTCTAGGATTATTAAAGTCTGTTGTACATACTGTATTGTGTAGGTTCCGATCCAGAGAGAGTAGTTCCAAATTTAAAGTTAACACCAGAAAAGATTATATAATTAATTATTTACAACAGCAAAGAATACTGCAAATGAGTATTGATAGTATAGACGAATGGGAGAAAGGGTGCTAAATGAGATTCATTGCTGTTAAGTGTGATTTGTTGCATTTTAGTTTTTATTAAAAATTACTGTGAATGGAAGCAGGTTTGGAGAGCTGGAAAATACAGAAATTTGTGCATACAGGACATCAAAGGCAATTCTGTTGACCATTCTATGATAAAAAATAGATGTTGGAATCCTAGATTTTATCATGTAATGTTTGAAATATAAAAATCAAGAGCACATATAAAATCTTAAGACCTAAATATTAAACTCCACTGTATCTGAAAGAAATGGAAACTTTAGAGAGACTACAATGTAGAATATTGATACAAAAGCAAATTGCCAGAAATACTCAACAAGCCAGACAGCATCTAAGGAAAAAAAAATTAATATTTCAGGTTAAAGTTCATTCACAGGTTGCAAAAATAGAGCTGGAATAGATGTTAAGCAAGTGCAATGAAAGAGGGGAAGGGATGGGCAAAAGGGAAGGTCTGTAATGCGTCGGCAGGGAGGAAAGATTGAAGGGCAAAGGAGTTGATGGTAATATTACCATCAAAAATGCAACCAATGTGCCTAAAAAAGATTTCATTGGCAGACTTATGAACAACTGATATCTGAAAACAAAATAAAGCCCAAAATGGAGAAAAGAGAAAGGAAAAGAGATTTCAGGTATATTTTTCTCTTGTAAAGATGAACACAGGAGGTAGCAACCTGAATATTTACTTTCACCAAGTATGATCAAAGTAAGACCTGAGAAATGTCCTGCCCTTACAGAGATAACTGAAATAAAATCAGTAACTGAAATAAATGAAATGTAAACCCTAGACAGGCCAAAATGACTCAGAACAAACAAATTACTAGGGACTGCAGAAAATGCAATGATGTACTGTACCTGGACAAAGCATTTGACAAAGTCCCTCATGAAAGGCTATCAGCATTCAAAGTTGTAGGGATTCCAGATAAATCTTAGGAATGAATATGAGACTAGTTAATGAGTTGTCAGCAGTGTTCATTATTTGAGCTTTGTCAGGCTAGGGAAAGTGACCCAATATTCAAAGCACTGTTGTCTTTCATTACAGAAAAGACTTTGCTATAAAGTGGATCAATATCTATTGGATAAGGACAAGAAGACCAGACTTTTGCCTATACCCTTATCCCTTTGTATAAGCAGTTAATGATCCAGCATCTGCTTGAGGTTCCTCTGAAGTAGGACTGCACTAAGGGAATTCACCTTTGGGAATCATCTGCCACAAAGAAGATGTATTAGCTTACCTGAACAGGGGACCAGTAGCTATCATCAATAACCCTGGTTACGCCTTCCCCATGCAGCTTGCAATTCAATCACAAATCCCCAATTGCTATCCTGGTGCCAATATCTTTCTCAGTCATTGAGACTGCAGGCGCCTGACCTTGGTTCCCAGACCAATTCCTGGGACCATTCCTGATCACTGCATTTGCATTTTCTTAATTCCAGCTCCAAAAGAGAATCCCTCTGGCCATTGGTCAGTTTTTCCTTCCATCTATCTGAGATGCTATTCTGCCATTCCAGTTTTATTATCATAAGGTGCATTCTGGTCCAGTGACTTATGGGCATACAGTCCAGACTTTTGGATTCAGAAGCTCAATGCAAAGTGGTAAATTTACTGATAACTAAACAGGAAGGGCACTGGAGACTGAGGAATGTAAATCAGGAATTACCGCAAAGCAGAATAGTGCATTGCACTAATAAGGGTATGTCCTTGCAGTACTTCCAATCAGTATCACAGAGGATTAATGTATGGCTTTGCTAAAGGCAAATGAGTATCTCTAAATTTATAGCTGTATAACAACCTCCTCCATTTTTTTCTTTGTCCTCCCTTCGCCAATTCCCCATCCCATCCCATCTCCCACTTCCCCATCCCCAATCCCCAATCCATGTCCTAAAATGTTACTATGGTTGATGTGACACTGGGAGCAGAATTCACTTTACATATACCTAAGCTTCTGTCACACGTTTTAGATTGCTCTGCTTTTTGTTGTTGCCAGGTTTGGAGACAAACATAGAGTCTGTTTTCAAGGTCTAGGATTGCTATATGGTGACTCATTCTGCAGGACAGCCCTGTATCTCTAATTGTGCATAAAAGCTGCTGCAATAAAGCAGTGTACCAGCAGGGATAACTGTAGAGTTGCAGATGAGAGTGGGTTGAAAGAACACCTACACAAAGCCTTTGTCAGATAGAATCTACAGAACAGAGACAGAAAGCACCAATATGTAAAACACTAAGACGATGGAGCACTGAAAAATCACAATGAAGACACCTCTTGTTTATTGCAACGTTTCTACATGCAGTTCAATTAAAACATTGCATGATTTGAAGTCTATTGTTTTTTTTCTTTTATCAACCTAAGGACTGCATTTAAAAATTGTCAAGATGATCTAACATGTATTTTGTGTCAGTGAATAGCTCAGCTGAATCTGGTATAATTCTATTTTTTCTCAAAATCTTTGGGTCTTGTTCATTCAACACTTCAGAGACTGCAATATTTTGGTACAGCAGGCTCCCTTATTTATTTATATATAAGCAGTTGCTACGACATGTCAATAATAATCCTTACTTGTTTGTTAAAAATATTTTCTTAGGCAAACATTGCTTAAAATACATCTTGGTTTTGTCCTTTTCACCTGTTTGCAATTTGTTCAGCATTCAATCTTATCACAATAAATACAAATAATTTTACTTTGTTGAATTAAGGATCATGAAATTCAAATGTTAAGTATTTACATAGTAACATGGTAAGAGTTTCATGCAAAATCTTGAGTCCACCTAGCCCAGATTTGATTTTGTTCTGCTCAGTACAGCCAAAAACCACAATTTGCAACTTGTATATCTCCTTGAGGCAAGTATGGAAAATTTTGCAATATGCTTTATAAATGGAATATACACCTTAAGCAAAATAATTGAATGCATAGTCCAAACAGATTAATTTGAAGCTTTCCAAGTTAACAAGCAAGGATGAAACTGATCAATGTTGGGTCATGGCGAAGGTTGGATGAGTTGGAGCTTGTTTAGGGTGGAATTTTAGAGAGCAGCAACAAAGGTTGCAGATCAGTCAAGATCAGCAGTACCAAAAGACACTGTTAACACATTCAGTTAAGATGAAGGGCAAAGAGAATAATGCACAAAGTTTCATGATGGCTGCATGAGTTGTATGTATTATGTGCTGGTGGCATTGCCCCTGTAAAATATTATAAGCACACACAGAATCTTCCGGTCAAAAACATTTTGATCTTCTACTTGCTATGTAAATGTATGTAACTTGAAACTGAAAGTTCATTCAGTTTTTTTAATTTTTTTCAAATTTAAAGAGGAAATAAATAATGTAATTTACCTTCTATTTGCTAAACAATAGACCAGATTTTGTTCTTTGCAGCAAATGGGTGCTTCCAAACGTACATACTGTTGTACTTGGCCATAGTCTTTCCACAGAATTTTACAATGGAGCTCATTATAGACCAACAAAGTGGAAGAGTACTTTTTGCAAAAGATGTGGGAACTACTGTGTCACCTTATCCAATCAGATTGAAGAATTCCAAATGCGCAGTATAGTATGAAGTTGAAGATATCAAGTAGAATGTTTAATTAATTTCCAAATTGGATAGAGTGTGAAATGAAGTGGAGGAAAGAAATTAGAATTAAGCATTGAGAGCTGTAAAGAAAAATAGAAGTTTTTTTTAATCATTTTTGATCTCCAGTAATCATTAAGATAATGAAGCAATGACACTGTCAATGTTATTTTTCTGTACAGGAAAATTTTTGGACAATAATGATGCAACAGCTATTAATTAAAAATTTACTTACTCTGCAGTGGCCAAGCCCTAATATTTCTGGTGAGGTTAGTGAGTATATATCACCTTAGTACCACATAGTACTTCATGGATTTCTATGCATTTCAATGCCAAGTCTCTAGGTGAAATTATGTTAGAACATAGCTTCTAGAGTAGTAAGACAACTTGAATAGCAGTTTTCCTGATTATTTTTTCCATTAGCTGTGCATGTATGGTTACCAGAAATTTTTCTCTAATTGACACTTTGACAATACTGAACACTTAGTCTCATCATTATTTCTACGCTAAAATCCAACTTGTATTTTCAGTGTATTTACATGTATTTAGTGCAGGACCTGACTATAATAAAAATAAAGAATTTTGTGCATGAAATATAGTGATGTTGACTTATTTCAAACCACTAGTAATGCACATGATGTGGTCCTGAGCAACAAATGTGTATCAACCCCGCATGGGAGTTGCATCAATGTATATGATTTGTCATGTGCGAAGATTTTAAACTGATCTAGATAGTTCAGAATAAAAGTATAAAAGAGATCAAAGGGCTCTCAATAGCAAGAAAATTAGCTAGTATGTCAACTTTTGCCATTGTTTTGCAGCAAATTCTGCCTATACTGCTAAGTGGTGCTGAATTATCATCAAAAGTTGTTCTAACTGCTTACATTCTCTCCCTTTAATTCTAATTTTCCCTTTTTCGCTTTTCTGGCCATGCAACACTTCACAGTTGTAAAGTATGCCACAAAAAGAAATAAAGAGAAAACTTTATTTTGAAATAAGATGTGATTTTAAAAAAAGCCTTCATGTTATGGAAATATGGAGTTATATGAAAATAAATCACACATCTTGAAATTTCATTTTGATGAACAACCCATGTCTTGTTGCATTTGAATTTTCTTTATTAATCTGGTCTATTTGCAGCGGGACAACTCAGCCAATCAGCACATTTTGCTCTACAGCTGCCCTATGTAGTCCTTGGCCTAGGACGTAGTGCAAACTTTCTCGACCATCTCTATGTTGGCATTCCTCGACCTCAAGGAGAAAAGGTAATAACCCACCAATTATGGCATGAATTTGAGTTTCTGTCCCTACATCATTATGTGGTAATAATCTCCTATTTATTTGATGGTCAGTATGGACTTCAAAGTTGTCCCAATGGTTTCGGATGTTCTTAATATCCTAATTAAGAATCTTACTCTAAATTTTTAAGAATTAACTTTTAATTTAGCATTTATTCTTAATGCTAAAATTGAAAACAAAAATTGACACTAAAAAGTCCATCAATGAATTGTATGATTTCAGCTAATGAGCTGTAAATGAACAGTGAACAAAATCTTCTTACACACCCACAAAATATAAACACCTACAACAAATAAAAGATATGACTAAAACTGTGACAAAGTCTCTTGATAAAAGTAGGATTGTTTCTTCACATAGAGGCTGAAATCAGTTGAAGTCACCTAAAAGAGTGCAGTGTCCACACACTGATTGACAAGACCCAATTATCACTACTCTGGCAGGACTGGTGGTGTGACCATGAGTAGCCTTGAAAAGGGGAATAAAAGGATTTTTTGTATAGATTCTTAAGTAATTAAATTTAAAACCTGCTCTTACATGGTTTTCTTAGGTTTACTTCCACCATCCCTCATTCTTGATTGAGAAAATTGATTTATGTTCTTTGTTTTCAAGCCCTTGACAATTCTGTAAAGGAAGAATGTACATGATTGCAGAAAGGAAGTAGAAGACTGATACTAGTTTAATTGTATACTCATGAAGACAGCACAGATGCGACAGGCTAAATTGTGCTGTAACAATTCTAAGATTTTGTGAATCTCACTCGAATCGGTGTTTTTTTTTGGAAATTCATAAGTACTTGGGTTTTTGTCTGTGCATTGAAGCAATTCAGTGCAGTTGGGTTCAAGTTAGGAGTCACTTTTTTGCAAGAAAAACTAAATCATTTAAGTATTTTTCTCTTTAATTTCTGGTAATTAATAAGAAAATAGCGAAGTAAAATTGATATATCTTTTCTTTTGAGTATTTCCCTTACAATTTTTGTTAGCATCTTCTCCTTCCAATCCTCCCTAAGTACCCACCCTTTGACCTTGGCTTGCAGAGTAAATGTAATTGTTCTGACATGGCAAATTTCTGGGAACATTGGATGTATGCAATGTTGGCTTTGCTTGTTTATTTTAACACATTTTATAAAGTTTCTATAAATACTCTACATGAAGGAATGCTGTTTTACTACAAGTTGCACTGTTAAATGTTCTCTGTTCGAATGACCACTGCATTTTTAGACAAAAAACTTTAATTACTAATTACTCTATTTTGTTTTCCCTGTTAGTCTGTGAGAAAACAAGAATGGACAGCTATTATTCCAAATTCTCAACTTATAGTAATTCCTTATCCTCATAACACACCAAAAAGGTAACATTTACATTTTTATATCCGCGCAAAGTTGGTCTATTCCTGGAAAACATTCAACACAAGTATTTGAAAATTGCCAGTTAGCTTTTGTTCCTAGAAGCTTAGAAAGTCAGACTATTCCTCCCAATATCTGTGTATGTTAACTAAGATTCCCTGTGTAATTACTCTATTCTAAATGATACAAACCAGTTACAATATAAGGAATATTTTAAAGAATACTTGAACTTTTTCACAAATGAGTGACTTACTATCTGACATAGTAATTTTAGGCTGTTACATTTGTCCAATTTAGCAGTCTTTTTTGGGGTGTAGACGTTTCTAAATACTTTACAGTGTACTCCTGTTTATGCACAACTGGCATTATGACTTTAAAAGCTTCCCAACCGTGAAAATTTTAGCCAAGCCCACTATTTCACTTTGGGTAGGAGATGATGTCGAGTGAACTTGTAGCACTGGGTTCAATGTGACTTCTTCTCAATGTACCCAAAGATAATATGCTGTATTCTGATTTTAAAATGTTATAATGTATGTTTGTTTTGGGTCAGATTTTGCTTAAACAAGGAATCTCTCACAACATTTCCTGTTAGACTTGTCTGTGCACATTTGATTTTAACATTCTTTTGTACATGAAGTTGCTATGTTTTCAAGTTGATCATTTCTGAAACTCTTGTTTGCTTTTCAAACTAAGTATGGCTTGAATTTTGCACAATGCATAACAGTATGGCTATCAACACTCATCATTATTAAGAATTAGTTTTTTTTTTCATTTTTCATGGACTATGGGAATCACTGGCAAGGTAAGCAATTATTGTCCAGCACTGACTAACTCCCCATCTAAAGGTTGGTGGTGACTTGTCTTCATGAGCCCCTGTAGTCATTGTGGTGTAAATGCACTCAGTGATGTTAGAGATAACAACTTCAAGCACCTGCAATTATGCAGTTAAATGCAGTATTAAATACAGAAATCAGGAAGTTGCTGTCCAAATTTCTTTGCTCCTCCAGAAGCTGCAGTGTCCTGATGCCATAGCATGACTCAACATTTAAATATATGAATAGCATGATGTTGCGATGTTTATCCATTACATAGCATTGTGTCCCTACTTTTGATCCAGAAGGTCTGGATTTTAATCCCACCTGTTCCACAAGTGTGTCATAATAAATCCAAATAGTTTGTTTAAAAGGGTTTCTTTTCCATTCAAGAGCAAGTAACCTTTTTAATAGCACAATCAACGTTGGTAATTACTGCCAACCAACCTTTCTAATGCTGATTTATAGGTATCGTCTTCAGAATTTACTTGATGTTGAAGATTTAAACAAAATAAATCATCTTTTGCTTTTTTCTTTGATATTTTAATCACTGTCAATTTAAAATTCTCCTTTCTTAATTTCATTGAAATAGTGTTCTAACTCAGACTTCCTGGTTTAGACTTTGTATTCCCCAGTAAGGATGCTTCCACTGTTCGTGCAGGTCCTAGATCTTTTTATAGATGGGTGCTGCCCTATTTCAACTCTCTAATTCGCACAGTAGTGTAAGAACACTCAGAAGACCAATTCTTATTCTCCCCTGTTAGTGACTTCAGATTTAGTGGGCCTGTTAAATTCTCCAAGTGACCTACCACCAGCCCCACCCACCCTGGATGTCCACAATTCTATACTGGGATGGATGAGGCCAGCTGTCCATCCTTGTACCAATTAGGATCTTTAAGCTGACAATTAATGACCAATTGAAGGTGCAACCTCAATTTTCAGGCTTGCAGAAGGGGTGCAGGAGCATTGGAGGGACCCAGAATGTTACCCTGCTCTATCCTTGGGCAGGAAATAGGAAGGGTGCCTCCTTTTCACAATGGACACACCCCGACAAGATCTGATACCCATGGGTGCTCCTCCTCTTACTCTCCTTCAATGCCCCCTTTAAGCTCCCAATCACCACTCCCTCAAGCCTGGCAAATAAGAATGTTGAAGAAGACAAATATAGATTTTGCCCTCCTTAAAATAGGATGCCAATTTGTAGAGGTTTAATGAGTTTTTTTTTTGCTTTAGGATTCAGCATTTCTACTCCTATAACCTAAGGTTTATGTGTGGGTTTTTAACAGCCTTACCAACTGACTGCCCACTTTTAGAGAACTCTGTAATTACTATCACTATATTTTAAAAAGTATTTTACCATTTTCAATTTTCACAAAATTTCCTAGTCTCCACAGTTCCCTGAAAGTGGCCACACAAGTAGATAGGGTGGTAAAGAAGGCATATGTCATGCTCGCCTTTATCGGTCAGGGAATTGAGTACAAGAATCAAGAAGTGACATTATAACTTTATAAAACTTTGTTTCAGTTGCACTTAGAGTATTGCGTTCATTTTTGGTTGCCACATTATGGGAAGGATGTGGAGGCTTTGGAGAGAGTGTAGAAGAGGTTTACCAGGATGCTGCCTAGATTAGAGAGTATGACCTATAAGGAGAGGCTGGACAAACTGGGGTTGTTTGCTTTGGAGCAGCAGAGGCTGAGGGGAGATCTGATAGAAGTGTATAAAATTATGCGAGACATAGATAGGGTCGACAGTCAGAATCTTTTTTCCGGAGTTGACATGTCTAATACCAGAGGGCATGTATTTAAGGTAAGACAGTGAAAATTCAAAGGAAATATGAGGAGCAAGTTTTTTGCACAGGGAGTGGTAGGTACCTGGAAGGTGCTGCCAGAGGTCGTGGTGGAGGCAGATACAATAGGGGCATTTTAAGGTGCTTTTAGATAAGCACTTAATAAGCAAGGAATGAAGCGAAATGGACCAACGGCAGGCAGAAGGGATTGGTTTAAAATGGTGTCATTTTTGGAACAACATCCTGGGTCGAAGGGCCTGTTCTGTGCTTCTATGTTCTGAAATATCTACCTTCCAAATCTACGAAATTGTTTCTGTTCCTTGAAGTGACTTATGGTTTCCCAAGCTCGCAGTAACTTATCGAAGCTGGGCGTAATGAGATTAGGATAAAATACCAGAACAATATGAAACTCAGCGAATAAATATAATGCAGATTGTGACATGTATGTCAGGCAATTTGCAACTTCAGCTGCATGTTTGTGCTGAGTTAAATTATCACAAAGGGCAGTGGTGGAAGTAGTGTTGGTATCATTGTTGGATAATTGGGGAGTGTAAAAACTATTATCATGTTGTTGATTGCAATCCAGAGACTCATCCTGATAGGTTATAATAACTTTCAATGGTCAAGTGGTCAGTGAATAGATGGTCTGCTAACAAATGAAGCAAGCCATTTAGGAATGGGAGCAAAGCTCAGTCAGTACCCATGGTTATCCATCATTCCATACCTTTAGGGAAGGAAAAGAAGGAGCAGCTTTGTACTTCAAGTAATAAGCGTTCTTAACTTGATTGACTTTCTAAATTAGTTATACTAATCCTTTACAAATCACTGATTAGGCCTGAGCTTGAATGTGATGTCCTGTTCTGTGTGCATAAAGTATGCAAAGTACATCAGGTATTTAGAAACTGTGCAGAACAAGTTTACCAAAATGTTAAGCAAGATGAAGGATTTCAGTCACGTCAACCTCATATTTGTCTATCCTTAACTAATAAAACATCCCAAGGTGTTTTACAAAAGTGGTTAAAAAGCAAAATTTGTTTCCAAGCTAGGTCATGTTCGGGCAGATGCTGAAAGTTTGTTTTTTTTAAACAAAACTTTTTTTAGATGCATCTTCAAGGAGAAAGAGGAGGTACAGAGACTGAAACTTTTAGGACATGACACCAGTTGTGCGAAGATTACCAACAGGATGGTGAAGAGGGTGGAGTTAATGGGGTGCAGATATCTTGGAGGTTTGCGGAGCTAGAAGCCAAGAAGGAATTTGAAAAGAAGGATGAGAAATTCAGAATCAAGATATTGCTTAACTTGGAGCCAGTATAATTCAGTGAACAAAAGGATAATGTGTGAGGACGTCTTGCTGTAAACCAGCACACTGGAAACAGTCTTGGATGTATTTTTGAATACCTTCAGATGTATGATAATTTTGCACCAGTTGCAAAGAAAAGGCAAATAATGGCAAAAATTAAGAACAGTAGTCATAAATTATTTTTTATTTTAAAAATAAAATTGTTTCAATGGAAACACTAACTTCATTATTTTTTCTTTTCTCTTTTCACAGCTGGAGTGCCAAGTTATATTTGACCCCAAGTAATATTGTACTACTTACAGCCATAGCCTTAATTGGAGTCTGTGTTTTCATTTTGGCTATAATTGGCATTTTACACTGGCAGGAGAAGGTACTACTTTTGAAATTTTAGTCAATATTTACATGTAATGCACAGATTGGTGTTTTATACGACAGTTATTAATTCTGAAGTCTGCAAGCTATTACATTACAACTAATCAGTAGATTCTGTTATGGTCACATCAATGCACCAGAGTTATGTTCATTTATCTTAATTTCTGTTGATGTTTTCAGTATTTAACAGCACAGGATTACTAATTCATTATATTTATCTTGCTGTGTAGCACCCTTTCTTAGAAAAATGCATAAATTAAATAGTATGATTATCCATTATGGTAAATTCACTGATGCTGCATAAAAAGCATGGTCCAACAATAAGGTTTAGAATCTTGTGACCCTCAGTTACTTTAAATGCCATTGTTCAGGTTATATACCCTCATACTGACTCCATCTCTTTTTATCCTGGGCATTGATTCAGGCTGAGCCTGATTTATTTACCAACAGTTGATTAAAATAATTTTCTGACCCCTTATTGTCCCCACCATGAATACTAACTATTTCACACCTCTATAGCAATGCCCTTCTCTACTCGTACGACAGCCTATCTACTAGTAAAACGCTCCTTCATGCCTTTTTCATCTCAGCATAGCCTATCACTGTAGCTTCCTGCAGTGCTATATCCTACTGTGAAATCATTTTTTCCTGACTTGGGCCACAGGTGCATTCCAATCTCATTTCACCACATTATTGATTGCTATGCTTTGGCTGATGGCCCTACACTCTAGAACTGTTTCCTTAAACACCATCACCTCTCCTTTTTTAATCTCTCCATAATATACACTTATTTGACTAAGCTTTTGGTCATCCCTTTTACTATTTCATCCATTTTGTAGTGCCCCTCTGTGAACAAGCTTCAGCCATTTTTCTAAAGTAAATTGGCTGTATAAATTCAATTGGTGGCTTAGGTTGTTATTAAGTGCAGAATCAGTAAATTTACCCAAGTTTGTTAGAATTTCCTTATTCCACAAGCCAAGAGTTTGCTATAAAACATAGGGATAAGTCCACAGTGCCAGTAAGGACTATAACTATGAATAAGATGTTTTTGATATCACTATGTTGGGATGGCATTCACAAAACTATGCTTTTTTTTACTAAATATAAAAGGCTATCCCCAACTTGACCTATTCAGGCTTCACAGAAGAAACAGAAACCACAATAGTACACATTAGTAGTTTGATTCAGCATTTTGCACAGATTCCTGGAGGCAGAGTCAGGAAGTGAGAAACCTTATCATGTGGAGCAGTTCTTTTGAAGAATAAGGGTGACTTGCAGGGTCAATCATTTTTCTTTTGTTAGTGATTAAGCATCCTTTTGAAACTGCAGCAGTATGAAATAGCTGTGCTTAATAGGAGGAGGTCAGGCAGAATTCCTGCAGTAAGAACACCAACAGAATTAGAGCTATTCCTTTGGATGTTTCAGATGCAAGGAATAACATTTGATTAAAGGCTTGCAAATATCTATCTGCAGTAACTTTGTAAAGATTTTCTTAAACATAACCATAGATCTGTAAATATTTAATGTTTTTGTTAAGAAAGGAAATTGAATCAAAATTAAGCAATTTTACAGGGCAGGCTGTTTAAAATGGCCCTTTGGATATATGTACGTAAATCTTTGAAGGATGTCTGGGCTTTAAATAAACAAATTTACTAGGATGATGTCAAGAACAAAGGACCTGAGTTTTTTGGAGAGACTGGAGAAACTGGGATTGTTTTCCTTGGAATAGAGAAGTTTAAGACAAAATTTTATAGAAGCATTCAAAATCATAATAGCATACTGAAGATTTCTTTGAACATTGAATTATGATCTGGAATGCATTGTCTGAAAGGATGATGTAAACAGAATAAATAATAATTTTCAAAAGGAAATTAGATAAATATTTGAAGGGGAGAAAAGCAACAGGGTTGAGGAGAGAGAGCACGATAATGGGACTAATGAGACAATTCTATCAAAAGAATTATCATATGACCCACCTCCTTTGCTAAATCATTCCATGCTTCTGTATTACTTAAAGGTTTTCTGCATGTAAGTAATGATAGCAGAGCAAATTGCATACAAACAAACATATGAAATAGAAATATAAGCGGCCATTTGGCTCCTCAAGTCTGCTCCGCCATGCAGTAAGATCATGGCTGATGTCACTACGCACAAAATGTATGACATTACAGCAGATACACATGTTTAAGCCATTTGTAGTCTGTTGACATCACAGCCTGTGTCTGCAGTGTGTAATGCTGTTTTGATCATTTGTACATGCATGGGTCCGTATGGACTCTGGATAATTACCCCAATTTGAAAACTGGGCTTCCAGCATTGACTAAAAAATCATTGAGTTTGGAGATAAAATCATTAGTTACTTGCACAAGTCCAGATAGCCCTTGAATCAGCTAGAAACCTAAATGACAAGTAGTACGTATGTGTAACCATCACTTCTTGACTTTTAAATGCAACAAGGGAGCTGTTAATAAAACACAAAGATTAGCTCTGTCATTGCCGTAGAGATGGTTAATGGTGGACATCAGAAATGAATACTGATCAATTACCTGCCTTATTCTGCACTGTCAAGTTGACAAGTAGCTCACAAGACCAATTAGCACATTTCACCCCACCAGGCAAATAAAAATTCTGGGAACTCTGTAACAAAGCCCAAAACTCTGTGACCAAGACATTCAGATTTTGTGCAAGCACCTCATTAAATGAATGAGACCAGATGAAAGTTGTACAAGTGATTAGGCTCCTAAACTAACTAAAGAAAACATATTTGTATATATTTTGTAATGTTTGCTTTATTCTCAGAGCTGTTTTTTAATCATATACTTGAGTTAGTGGAGACTTCTTTATATTGAAGATGCAATTTTTAGAAAATGTTCCAAGTATGTGGTCCCCTGCACCTTTATTTCCTCGCTGTGATTACCTAGAGAAGGCAGGAAGTAGGACCACAAGAATTGATCACATGTTATGGGAGGCCAAACTGCATAGAAACCATTGGATTTTATGATAGATTTATGAAGATTTATTATCCAATTTATTGAATCCAATTTCATAAACATGTCAAAGTAAAATTTGAGCATATGATCTCTTGCTTAATAGTCCAATAGCACAACAATTAAATTACTAGTCCCTTAATGACTTTGACATTTGTACTTGTCTTTGAAAGTTAATTTGGACACACAACTAAAAGCTTACCTTGATCACAAAGATACACAGGATTGCTATAAACTCATGAGAGTGATTGAATACCTAAACCTGCTCAGTTAAATATCTGATTGTTCATGCAGGTCTCTTAAATCCTAAACGCAATCCAGCCAAAGTGCCTACTCCGATTGCAATCTAGAGACATTGGCTCATGTCCCATATTGGCTGAGTACTGAATTGATCAAAAAGGCTGAGAATGATCACTATTTAGGCACATTTATGAATGGCAACTTGGAAGAGGTACTGAAAATCACTATTGCCCATTTCAAATCTCAAGAGGAAAAGAAATACTTTCCAAGCACTAAAAAAATGCTTTGTTGCTAGTCTGATGATGTACGCTGTTCTGGTACACAATACAGTGACAATAGACTGCCTATTTCCTGTAGAAGTAGAGTTCTTCAGAGTATTTAAAGAACATCTCTTCACTAATAAGGCAGATGAATATTATTGGAATCAGTGGCCTTGACTCACTGAACGAGCAGCCCGTATTTGCAAACAAATTTATTCAATAACTTCTGTTAATTGGCTCACTAAATATCAGTTTATGTGCATCATGTTTTTGACTATTTCCATTTTGCCTCTTTTCAGTGCAATCACTTTAAATCTGCTATAATATTGTTTTTATGATGAGCTGATTTTGAACTGTCAAAAATGGTGCCTGGTTGGTGGAATATTTGAACTCAACAGCGAAGTTGAGTCTGACATATCGGCCAATGATTTATAGGATCCTCCTTCACCTAAATCATGCAGTGCTTAATCTTCCAGCCAGCCTAAAGGGCTCTGTCACTTTGTGAGCTTGGCTTGCACATATGAAATGGGCAATGGAGGAAAGCTTACTCGGAGCTATGCCGGATGTGAGTTCTTAAAGCTATATTGCTGACTTTTATATTGTTGCAACTGAAACTTTTAAAATGGATGTTCCACCAAGTACTGTTCTGAGTTTACTTGAAGGCAGAAAAAAAGGGACAGTACGCATGTTAACCTGAATGAGAGGCCAACTGCCTGTATCCATCTTTTCCCCATATGTACACGTCCAAGAATATCTTCAGCAATTTTATGTCACCGGTGAAGCAGTAACAGTTGCGCAATTTCTAGAATCTATCCTGTAGCAATTTGCCAGAGCTGTTTCAACAGCACCTGCCAAACACCAACCTTTACCGTCTGGAAGAAGGGCAGTAGACACATGGAAATATCACCACCTGCAGGTCACAAATCATATATGTCTTGGTTCTTTCACTGAAACTGGGTCAAAATCCTGGAACCCATCCCTCAAAGCACTGTGGGAGTACCTGCACCAAATGAACTACAGAGGTTCAAGGTGATGGGGCACCACCATTTAGGAACTGTCAGTGATGACAAAAATACCAGGATGACCAACAGTACTCACAAATCACATGTTATGATCCTAGCTGATGGTACTATTGGACATGTCACATCCCAGAATGGAATGTTAATGTTTGTATATGTTTTTAATTTTAGTTGGCGTAGTGGTCAGTCATTGAAACAAAGCTGCAGTCTTTCTTTAACAACAGAAGTTTATTACACAAAAGAGTAAATAAATAAAAACCAACCTATCTAAATATGGAACGCAGTTATGAAACAATGTAAAGCACACAGCAAAGCAATGTTTTCAACTCATTGGAAAAGCAAGAAATGCTGTAGAAACTCAGCAGCTCTGGCAGCATCTGTGGGGACAGAAACAGAATTAACATTTTGAGTCCAATATAGCTTTTTTTCCAAAGACTAGCTCTGGACTAAATTTTACCAAAGATCAGGCAAATGTCAATTTCAGGGTTTCTC